TAAATTAAAATTTTATCCGTCTGTACTTTTATTGATGATAAAAATGAGCCAATCAGCACGCGAGAAATTAGACAGTTATTGTAAAATTAACAAATCGAATGTGGTTTAGCGTGGGCTGTACTCCTATTGACAACGAGTACGCGTCATTACAGTGGACAAAAAGAAAAAATGTTTGGGAAAAGAGTAATGATGCGTACTCATTGTTGATAAGAGTACAGACCACACTAAGCCACATTTTGACTTGTTTTTTTTACCACAATATCAACATCAAAGAAAATGTTTTTTTTAGAGCGCGAGCTGAAAAAGGCATTGCGCGACACACTGACGCGAGCAGCGTGGTATGGACTCTTATCGACAACGGCAAATTAGCCAATCAGATTGCGAGATCGAGATTGGCAGCAATTGTGGTAAAATAATTATTCGCATGCTTTATCGACTACCAAGTACTAAAGTAAAGAGATTTGCTCTGTCTTTTGGTAAAACTTAATCTACCAGACCACAACTACCAACATTCTGCTCAATAAAGTTCTCCTGTCTTTGAGCTTAAACTTATATTGGTCACATTAGACACAAGTCCCTGGTATCCCCTGTTGCACATTTCAACTGAATGACGATTCCGTATGTATGAATCTCTATTTTCTAACTTACCTCCGATGGAGAACCAAACGTAAGAGCCACGGCAGGGGCACCATCAGCAAGACATCTTCTGAAGATCAAAGATCCTGGTTGTCTCAGAAGACGAGGTGCTTGGCGAGAAATTAAACCCAACATCCTGTACTAATACCCGGCAAAATGGCGGCGGTCAAGGAGAACCCACAAGGCTTTGCGCGGAAACATAGAACCCAGTACACCTCCGTTTAGAAGGCTTGTACTTTTCTAGTGATCGCGGGAGCCAATATTTTTGTCGTTTTCGGAGTATTAAAGTTTTTAGCCACAGAAATGGCTGATTCTGAAATACAGAATGGTTTCCCAGAGCTGAAAAATGATCTAATTTTGCGAGCTGCCCGTGGAGAAGGGACTGAGCGGGTTCCAATCTGGGTCATGCGGCAAGCGGGCCGCTATCTCCCAGGTAAGAGAAGTTTTGATGACATAATATTGACATGTTTATTAGGTCACGTAAGCTTATGTTTTGTTTTTAGATTTCAATTCACAGCAGAGATAGTTTAGGGACTCAAAGTATCGTTTAATCGAGACAATATTGCGTTCAACGTGATGACCTCGAATCCGTTTGGTTTTTACATGAGCTAAGTAGGCCATATTTGTATTCTCAGTATGGACTGGAACTAGCTTGCAAAGGAGGCTCATGGGGGGTATATCCTGAAAAAGAGAGAAATTATATTTGTATTTCAAAAACACTCCCTGCATTAGCCTCAGTTCCAAGCTAGTTCCAGTCCAATAACAAGAATACGAAAATGGTCCATTTGTCAGACAATGATCTAGTGATCATCTCTGCTCTCACTGCAGTAGTTAGGGCACTGACATCTGTGGGAAGGGCTCGGCAGCTGCTTCTCTTCCCCTTCCCCCAGCACATTGTATTTACAAAAAGGGTTCAAAGGTTCAGAGAAGGGAGCTTACCCCCCTTTTCACCCCTAAGAGGTACCAATTCTAAGACAATGCATTACCTCCTATTATATTTTTTTGGGCTTAATACCCTAAAAGGTACAGCGAAAGCTCTCGCTGTGGACCTTTTGAGGCTAAACACACTAAGAGGTACCGAAACCAATTATTTAACCCCTAAAAGGTTCGACGAGCACCCCCGTCCTTTTCATATGAGTCCTCCTCCCTCCCTCTGGGGTTTTGGGCCTCACTGACGTTTGCTGATATTTAGCAGGTCACCAGTCAACAGGAGATAATTTTCATGGCAAGAAAATAATTGTATGGTTGTCAGTTTAATGTCCATCCATTCAGTAATAGATCACAGATGATGTCAAAATGTGGTCGAAACGGAAAGGTGGCACAAGAGCTGTTAGGCGAGTCGCGTTCACCAATGTTCTTACCACTTTTTGATGTCATCTGTGATCTACTGTATTTCTGCACATATGCCAGGCAACATGGAATTTTTCTGTTTTGAATGATGAAGAAATCAAAGAAAAATGTTCATGGCATCATCTATGTGTCTGTCCACCAATGAATCATAAGTAAGAACCAATGAAAGTGTGAGGATAATTCAACTTATAATCCATCAAATATTTTTACTTGCACATGATCGGTCTAAACATGTCATGTGACCAAATATTCCCCAGTTAAAACTGTGGAATATCTGAGAATATTCCCCAATTTTTAATATTAAAAAGGATACAACGAACACAATAGTGAACGAAAATATGCTTGGTTATTTGCCCTTGGACATTACCTTGAACATTATTGGAAAACTATTTGCTTCTCGGAACAGATAATGTCTGTAGACAAATATCCAAGCATGTTTTTGTGCCAAATGGAGGATATTGCTTGTATGCTGTATAAATCCTGACGCATATAGTAAGGCTCTAGGATTCCAGAGGTTGATGAAAAATACTTCCAACTGTAAAATATTCTTCTATAGTAAAAGATGAAATGTTGCAAGTGCAAGACAAAGGAAAAAAATGTGAACCCCCAACAGGATTCAAACCCATGACTGCATGACCTCCCAGATATTATTTGGGCTCTCCCACAAATTATGCCAGCATATTGCTCACTGAAGCATTATTTCTAACCGTACCACAAGGTATTTTAATAATAAATGTTGTACTTCCAGAATTCCTGAAATTAAAGGAAGAAAACAATGCTGATTTCTTTAAGATGGTGCAGACCCCAGAACTGGCTTGTGAACTCACTCTTCAGGTATAGATAGATCTCACAGTGTTCCAGATAAGTGACAGGCCTCAGATCAAAAACCCGACAAGGTCAGCTACATGACCTGACAAATTAATTATAGAACATTGATGATTTGGTGGGAACAGTGGGAATTGACCTGTTGGAATTCCTTATTGACACCCTGCATTGAAAAATTATCTGGAACCCTGTCTCACATAGATAATTTTTTAACAACTTGTGAAGTCAATTGATTTTATATCCCTTTGGATAATGTTGAATTCTTATTCTTGGTTTTAACTCACATGATCAACAGCTGTGTTTTCTCACTGAAACAAAGCAAAGATTTACGTAAAAATAGAGTTCAATTCCCAGAGGTTAAATTTTGGGCTCCAACATGGCCGCTGTGACGTCAGGTGAAAACCAAGCATACTCTACAAACAATTTCTAACCTTTCAGTGTCAAGACTAGTATGCTTAATTATTATAAGGTACTTCTGTTCCCAAATTACATGCTCAGTTTTATTTTCTTTTTTTCAGCCTATAAGAAGATTTCCTCTAGATGCAGCTAT